GAATGTAGATAATAATAACCACTTGTCAATTAACATATGTAGTAAACCCTTTAATAGGGTTTGTCTTCAACAGAATATAAGGACAAAGGATCAACCAAATTCAGCTTTCCAATCCAACTCTAAACCTCCCAGAGCATCATTCTTATATACATCATTAAGGGTAAGATTAAATGCCTTAATCCTATCAGCATCCAGATGTCCTACAAAAATAGTCAACAAAAAAAAAAAAACTTCTACTGGCGCATCTGCAGTCTTATATATTTTATTTCATTGAACCCCTAATGTTGAGGTATTTCCACACCATGATTCCAGTCTGGTTGATATAGCTACCAAGGGGAAGGAAAATACACCTCTATTTACACTTATCAATGGAGCATATTTCTCAATGCATTAACATTCTACACCCACGCATATTTCTCAATGCAAAAACTCAAAGCTATCTGCACCTTATCAATGCAGCAAATGCAAAAATGTATTTCTCCTGTATACACCAGTTCCTCCCTGGCTTATACTCCTACATACTCAGAAAATCCAGTGATGTGTGAAATTCTAGTGAGCGGCAAAAAAATACACAACTCAGCAATCCAGTGAGAGGCAATCACTGAGCTTCCCCTCTTCAGCCCTTAGCTCCACCTAGTGCTGCAGCTCTCTGGCTCTTGGAAGCCACAGCTCCGCCAGTCCACCTTTCAGCAAGTGCCACACCACCACCTCCAGCAAAAGCATCAAAGGCACATTGCTCGGTGCCCGCTTTCTTTTTGGAGGTAGGTTGTTGACTCTACAAGGGAACTCAACATGAGACTCACTCATGCTGCGAAGAATGCTATATTACGAATTTCTGAGTTCGCTGCAGCAGTTGTCGTTCTTCGTGCAACATTGAATTCTTACTCTAGGAAGAAGGCACTGCTGAAAGACTCAGAAGTGCTACTGTGGCTCTATGGATTGGAGTCATGTGGTGCTATTTCGACTGTTGAGATTGATTTGGAGTCGGTTGTAAACACAGGAGCAGATATCTTGGCTGGAGTAAGTGGTGTGGCATGTGCTAGAAGTGGTGTGTAAAAACAAAGAGGAAAAAGAAAACCCCAGAAAAAAAACATAATTACGTTACATGGAATTACAAACAATCGTATAGCTTTGAAGTATATTACTAGATGATAGGAATGACATCCATGAGTTACAAACACTGCAGCCTTATTGCATGCCAATATTTCAATATCTCAGTTCAATTTACACGAAGAGAAATGATCAACATATAAAGGAAAGCGTTCGAATGACAGAAATTCACACAATTTCAGTATCCATTTTATTGAGCTAGAAAATATGTGGCAGAGGTCAAGCAAGAGAAGTGGCAAAATGGAGCTTTTAAGGAAAAACATCTCTCACCTTCCTTCCACAATAATGCCACTGAATTCAGTAATGTTTCATGGAGAAGGCATCAGCTCTATCCCTGGATTAAGATCGTTCTTGTTCTTGTTATCACCATGCTCAGATCTAGTTGATTATGTGTTTTCAGCCTCGATGCTGGCTGTTATGTCCTCAAAATCCCAGTCAGTTAAATAACTTGGTTTTGATGCAACAGGGCTCACTTCGATATCCCCAGCAAGCATAGCTATAACCCTTGACATGGGTGGTCGCATCATTGGTGTTGCTTGCGTGCACAGGAGTCCCACTCTTATCATTCTTAAAGCTTCATTTTCATCAAACTCCACTAGGGTTGGATCCACCAGACCAAGACATTGGTTGCTTTCATACAGAGTCCATGCCTAGAAACATTGTATCAGTAAATCTCATGCCCAAGGAATGCGTCTATAAAGAAGGAAAAAAGAACAGAGTTTCTTTCTTTACCTGTTCAAGAAGATAGATCTTGTCATTGTCCTGGCTGTTGTCAGAGTTTGGTCTTCCACTGACAATTTCCAAAGCAACAACACCAAAGCTAAAAACATCTGCCTTCTCAGTGAGGTGGCCACGCATTGCATACTCTGGTGCCAAATAGCCACTGCCAATATTGCAATTAAGCTATTAAATTTGCATGTTCAAGGTTTATTGAGATGATCTCTCTATCTATGATACTAAGTCTCTGGATTCTGTTGATGGTTTGATGCTATGAAACCTAATAACATATATGAGCTACAATATAATGCAAATAAGCATTTAGATACTCTTTTGATATAGTGATTCAAGAAGCTTACATAGTTCCTGCAACCCGGGTGCTGATGTGAGTTTTCTTGTAATCATATAGCTTTGCCAATCCGAAGTCAGATATTTTTGGACACAGCTCCGCATCAAGCAAAATGTTACTTGCCTTCACGTCTCTGTGTATAATCCTCACCCTTGATTCCTCATGAAGATAAGCTAGTCCTCTTGCAGTTGCCACGCAGATATTGAACCTGGTTGGCCAATCAAGATGCAAGTCTCTTTTTCCTGCATATGTGAGGCAGGAAATGTTATGGAGAGTGATTAATTTGGTGAAGAAATGAATTCAGATGCAGATATGTTTCATTTCCTGCATAAAGGCTAAAAGGGAGCAAATAACTTGTTCAGTCATACCAAAGAGTGCTTGGTCAAGGCTTTTGTTCTCAAGATACTCATAAACAAGGAGGCATCTGTTCCCTTCGATGCAGCATCCGTACAGTTGAACAAGGTTGCGGTGTTGCACCGCAGATATGGTAGCAATCTCAGTAACAAATTGACTCTTCCCTTGGTGAGAGGCTACCGAAAGCTGCTTCACAGCTACTACCCGCCCATCAGAAAGTTTACCCTATAATGTATTTAAAATGCTTTATTTAGTAACATTGTCATATAAATCTTCGATCTCATTAAAAACAGATGTAAGATTTTAAGCCGATAGCTTACCTTGTATACAGGACCAAATCCCCCTTCTCCTAACTTATTTGAGGGACTGAAGTCATCTGTTGCAGCTCTCAACTCGGCATAACTGAAGGTGTTTGGTCTGGGTCCTACTCCAAGAAGCCCTGCAAATTCAAGAGAAGTTGGAATAAAATCTGCTGATGAAATAGGAGATAATTATATAATGTTCAAATTTTACGAACACTGGTCCTAGGATTCCGCATCTCAAGTTTGAAGGCCATGAGCCATTGTAAATTTTCTAATTCTTTTTTTTTTTTTCCTTTTCATATATTAATCAGAAAATTGATGAGTAAATAAGAATAGGTTAAATGCCAATTTTGGTCCCTCAACTTTACAGTTTTGCACAATTTTTGTTTTCAACTTTCTTATGTACTTTTTTTGTCCCATACCTATAAAAATGCACTTTTTTAACCATTTTGTTTATTTGTCTCTTAAGTCTGTTCAAATTAGGCTAGAAATCAATTTTGGTCCCTCAACTTTAAAGTTTTACATAGTTATTGTCCTCAACTTTTTATGCACTTTTTTTGTCCCTTAACTACAAAAAATGTACTTTTTTACTCATTCAATTAGTTAATTCGTTAAATTTGTTTAAATATACACATTTTTAGTTTCTCAACTTATAATACAGACACATTTTTTGTCCCTCAACTAAAATGTTCAAGGACTAAAAATGTGCATAAAAAGTTGAAGAATCAAAATTGTGCAAAATACTAGAGTTAAGGGACCAAAATTCACATTTAACCTTCAAATAAATTTTACTTCCTATATATAATTATAAAATTTGTTCTTTTGAACACTAGAAATACTGGTCCCACGTGAATGCATTGCCACAAGATAGAGTAGCAACATTGTCAAAGTTGAAAAAAAAAAAAGATCAGTTTCTCTCTCCATCAGGGAGATCAATCCTCTTAACTACTGGAATATCTCCTCCTTTAAAAACTCGTTTGTCCACCCTTGTAATAAAGAAGAAAATAATTATGTCTAAAGATCAGTGAAGAGCTTAACCTAGAACTTGGTTTGGGGAACCTAGGACTTCATTCAGCAGCACTAGGGCCAGATCCAACATAGTATATTAATATGAATCAGTTTTATGAATAATATCATGACTTTTTCTCTTTTTTTTTTTGTGTACATTAAAAAATTAGTTACTTGGTATCACAGAGGTTTTAACTTTTAACTTTGATGCTAAATTGAAGTTTTTAAGTTAGTGAATATATACTTTTGACCAAGCTCTTGTTAGTAATACTATCATGACTAATTAACAACCACTATTGCACTTTTTAGGACTCTTACCATTCTCATCATCATCATTTCTCCTTCTCGAGTAGAAGACTACAAATAGCAATATCAAGGTGAAGGTGACAACTCCGACAGGAACTGCAACCCCAACAAGCAACCCAGTACTATTCTCTTTTCGTGTGAAACTATTCTCTTTTGGTGTGACACCTGATCAACAGGTTCTAGGCATTAGCAGTGGCAAACCGAGATAGGCATGACTTAATATTTTAAACAAAGATTCTTATTTCATCTCATTTCTTACTTGATACCACGCTGATTGCTGAAATGGATGGTCCATAGGAACCTTCTTGTGGTATGCAGCAAGTTCCCTTACCAGCCCATAATAGGTGAATTTCAAGATGGTTCTCTGTCACAGTCGCAATGAAATCCTTAGTGATTGCTATGTCATCCCCACCTGCCTCGTTTGATATGTCAAAATCCTTCAATACAACGATTCCCTGGGAACAGTTGATTATGATTAAAAACTGAAAATGTAAAACTTAAGCTTGAAAATTTGAAATTTTAGAAACATTTGCTACATTGAGGACTTGAATAAAATGACCCATAAATGCAATATGGAATATGGTTTACAATTCTTATGGAAAATTTACCTGAATATAAATATCAAAAACTCGCCTTTTTGCCAGAACGCTGCGAACTGTTTCCGCAAAAAGCAAGTTAACCATATAAGGCCCATTCTTTAGGCCTAAGCCATAGTATCTGAGTGACCCAGCAGACGTCCTTGAAGTTAAATAAAGCTCTGGCGAGATTGTGTTTCTCACAGGTTCAAAGCTGTTTTGCCTATCAGCTCCAAAAATATAATCAGTAATCGAACCCACACTGCTAACTGCCCATTTCTCAGTATCAGCTACATGAAATGATGCTATGCCAAGAGAAGAGGTTTCAGTCTCATATGTTATCCCATTCACAATCATCCCTGGGCCACCACATTTGATTGCAAAGTTTGCATCTGCCAACATCAATATTAAAATATGCTTGCCAAGTTACTCAAGAACAATAATTATAATTCCAGCAACAGAAATTAATACCCAGCAGGTTACTGATGCCGTCATTTTATAACAGATTAAAAACAGCAAGTAAATTTTGACTCCTTTCAAGTTCTAGCAGGATGAACTTGATGTCTTTTTACAATTGCCACTGATGCATGCATATTTCAATTGGCCAAGCTCAGAATGATTGATACTAGGAAAGCAAGAATGGATAATTTGTCACTGACAGTCTAAGAACACTCTAAATTACAATTATCTATGCCTTTTCCCCTCTACTTGAGGCTTCTTTCTGCGATTACAAGTATAAGCCATCTCAAGGCAATGCAACAAAAGAAGCTTACAGCCTGGAGAGTTCCTGCTGCACAGGAAGCTTCTTTGAAGGCAATCCAATCCTGGAAAAAGACTGAAAATAAACAAAATAGTTATTTCTTATTAGTGCTATAAATTATAAAAGAATGCCTTCCATTGTGGAAAAAATTGAAACCAATTTTCTTATGCCTTTAGATTCAAGTGGATAGAAGAGTGAAACTCAGACAGGTAAAACTGAGACAGATATTTAAGAACTACAACTCACCTTACGCTTGACCTGTCAAATGCGAAGTTGTTGGCTACTAGATTCCTACATGATACAAAGCAACAACACAAATGAACATCTGTCATAGCAGTTGTAACAATCCAGACATTCATGAATTTAAAGTGACAGATACTTTTTCTAGAAATGATATACATAGGTGTGTACCGCATTACTATCATGGTTCTTGATAACCAAAAAGACTCCAGAGGACTTTTAGTTGAGCATTGGAATTTTGGTCATGGGCACAAGTTAGGTACCAAAATGAGAATAAAACTAGGTCTCTGACAAGGATGGTGGTTGGGGCAGATCTTGAACATTTTTCTTTCATTCATATTGCATTAATAATGTGACATCAATTAAAAGAAAAATAAGCTTGAGCTACATACAGTTGTAAGTTTGTGTTTACCCATGAGGGAAAGCTTCCAGACAGAAAATTGTAAGACAAATCTCTGCATGAGAAAGTAGTCAAAGTACAATAGCAGAAAGTAAGCAGAAGTTATTGATTCAAACAAAGAGAATGCTCAGAATGGTATGGCTTACATATTCATTAGTTTTTCACTCCTTTGGCCAGGGATGGTACCAGACAGACTATTATTTCCAAGAAACCTGGACATTAACAGAATAAAATACATTCAATTTTTTTTTTCTTTTGATGGTTAATACCATCAGATTAGTGGCATTAGGATGACCTAAAAAACTAACAATCAAATTGACATAAATCAAGATTTTGAAGCAACTACTAGGACTTTACAAGTATGTAAGAGAACTTATGTTGAACAAAGCATTTGGAATTTGGCCTGTCAAGTTATTGAAACTCAAATCCCTGGTAAACGAAGAGGAATTAAATTAATATAGGAAATGGAACAAATTTCATACACAACATATTCATCAGGTAAAATGTGAACATATCTTACAGATTTTGTAAAGATTGGAGTTCTCCAATATCAGATGGAATACTACCAGTAATTAATGCATTTCTTAAAACTCTACAGGAAAATAAAGAACAAAGGAAAAGAGTATTGTTAGTCAACTAACTAATAAAACAAAAACAAACACAACAAAGACAAAAGAAGATACAGGTTTCTGTACATGATTAAAGAGTTTTTACTTACAAGGTAGTTAACTTCTTTAAATTTCTAATGAAATCAAGAGAAGAGCTCACATTGGATAAACCAATGATTCGCCTGCATGATTATAGATAAGAATTGAAGAAGTTAGCCACTATACATACTTTCATAATCATGCATGCAGAGAGAGTATAAATGGTAAGTGGATAATTGCTTACAGAGATTCTAGAGAGGTTAATTTAGAAAAACTGGATAGTATAGGACCTTCAAAGTAGTTCCCTTCAAGTCTCCTACAGAAATATTTCACAGGCTAATCAAGAAAGAACAAACTAGATATACCTCACTGTTGAAAAAATGAGGCAAAACTAATTAAAAAAAGAATGGCTTTAAAAATTGAAAAAGAAGTAATTGTAACTTACAATAATTTAAGGTTTGTCCAGTTGCCAATGAAATCAGGTATCTTCCCTGTGAAAGGATTGTCTGATAAACACCTAAAATCCAAAAAGCTCTCTATGAATGACAGGGTAAGAGAAGATGATTTTGAGATTCTCCAAAAACATAAGCAGACAAATAAATACAGCTTATGATCCCAGGGACCTTACATTTCTTGCATGCTTAGAAAGTTAGCAAACGTTGAGGGAACTTCACCACCAACTCCACAGCTGTCAACGTAACTATACATTCATAAACCAAAACTGTTTAGTCTCTAGTGATATGCTTGTTACTGCACAAACTTATTGAGCTACAAAGAACTAGAAGAAAGTTATAACTCACAGTTGTTCAAGTTTGACTAAATTGCCAAGTTCTAGTGGGAGCGTTCCAGAGAAATTATTCAAACTAAAGGCTCTGCATGAAAGAATTCAAATAAAATATTTTTATGGAGAAAGAGAAACCATTAAAATTGACATAGGTTATATTTAAACCTATCACAGGGATTGCAATTCTCAATATTAAAATTAAGTGAAGATTAAAAGTCTTTCGAGAGATTTTGTTGGTCTCTCAACTCTCAAAAAGGAATGCTGTGAGGGTTTCATGTGAAATTTAATCAATATAAAATGTCCCAAGCTTTTCAGAAGAGCCACACAGATTCTGTCTCCATCAGTGCCATAAATCCTCTAGTGACTTGACTACCATATCACATCACAACTTCACATCAGATATAAAACAATATGAGTACCTCAGGACCTCTTGGAAACCATTTACAGGAAGATTATATTAAAATCATAAAAAGACCCAAATCACTCAAATTATCTACAACCCCTCGCATTTCTATCAAAGGTAGTTGAAACCGATACCCATTTTGAATAACTGAAGTTATTTATAATCCCTTCTGGAATTCATCAATTCAATGTATATCAGAATTCAGAAGCATATTTATTATTGTGAAAGGATGTTACATCAACTAGTAGGCACTGCCATATCAACAATTAATTTTACATATTAGAGTTGTGGCTGTCTCCCCTTCTTGTTCCACCATTACCCCTCAACAACAAATTCTCTCCAGACCTTCGTATCCTCTCAACATAATATTGAATTGATTTTTCATTTTATAAGAAAGGCACTTTCATAATAACCAAGAACCAAACTTGTGCATAATGTAACTTAGAGGCTACACGTGTGTGGTAGAACAGAACCATTTGATGCATTACAATGGCAGATAAAAAAAAATTAAAAAAATTAATGCATTATGATTACAAAATAGAATTTCTTCAAGTCTTACAGATAAGTTAGCTCCTTAAGATTTCCAAGCTCCTTAGGAATGGGCCCAAAGAACGCATTGATGCAAACAGACCTTGACACAAAAAACAAGACCCAAAAAATGACTAGCGGCTTCTCAAATAAGAATTAGCAAAAATAACAGACCAAAGTCAAAGAGTTTTACTTATGGAATAAGCATGATGACCATAATCAGAAAATAAGTGATACGTGTTGATAGTAATCAGTGTAAATGATGATTTTTAATGCTGGTATATAAAATGAGACACTGAAGTAAACACAAAGTGTTTCACTTCAGTACTTCATGTTGAGCACTTCAATGATTTAGCTTCATAATCAAGGGTCAATGCCTCTTTTTTATAAAGAAAGATGTCATTAGCAGGTTGATACATGTATTCTACACGGTAAAGACATTTAACGTCTGGAACCAAAAATCAGAAAACCTACATAGGGAAATTTCAAAAGTTTTTGATAAATGCTATATATTAAAGTAAAGTTAAATTCTTTCATAAGACCACCAGAATACATGCTTACAAGTACTTCAATGTAGATAAATTCCCAATCCATGCTGGCAAGGTACCGGTGAAGTAATTTATCGCGAGGTCCCTGCATCATCAAACAATGAACAATTCAGTACTCTTAAAAACTCTACAGGAAAATGATAAAATGTCAGTTTCTACGAGCAAAAGAAAAAGAGAAACCATACAGAAAGGTTAAGAATTTGAGAGCCAAAAGCTCCTCCGGCATCACCCCTCGTATGTTCTGTTCTCTCACTTTCCTGTGAAAATGAACAAACAGTTAGAGTGCAACTTCACAACCGAACAAAAGTTCGAAACAGAAGTGAATGCGTTCGCCAGAGCAGCAAGAGACGGAGAGAGTACAGTCTGGTGATGTGACAGGTAGTAGCACTGTTGAAGGAGCAATCGCATAAGATGGCCGGATTGTTGGAATTGTAATAGTATTGGTTCAGAGCAGTCCCGGTGCATGGTTCGCCGCCGATCTTCCAGGAATTCGGCGGTGCCTGTATGCCCCATTGTTGGAAGATTGAGTTCAATGCACTCACTGCATCAAAAATCAAGAAACGTCAACATGCTTCTGGTGTTCCTCAGGTTTTAGGTATTGTTTGGATTGGAGGTGTCGGACGGAGAAGAAGGGGAAGGGATGGGGACGGATGGCAAGGGAGGGGGAGTGAGGGGCAGCTGTCTCCTTCTTCCTGTTTGGGTTTCCAAAGAGGCAGAGGGGAGGAAGATGGACTGATTCGGACTCCCTTCAACCCTCCTCGAATCTGCAGATTTGTAATCCGCCCGATTTGAGGGATTTGGGAGGGATTTGAGTGCTGTTTATATTAAGTTAAATGTAATTACAAAATTAACCTTAATTTTTTTATTATATCCTTTTCCATTACAAGTTTAAAGGGTAAATTTATAAATTTAAAATTAATTTAAATCCTTCTCTTCATTTCCTTCCTTTTACTTTAATTATCCAAACATAAAATAATACAATTCTTCCCTTCCCTTCCCCTTCTTCATTTTTATTTATCCAAACAAAATTAACACAAATCATTTCCTTCTATTTTCTTTCCTTCCTTTTCTTACGCGGGCTAAGATTCTTATCGTACCCATGACGAATTACTGTTTGGGCCTTCTGCGAGCAGAGGCCACTGTAATAGTGGGCCTCAAGGAGTCACATGGGCTCAATGATTTTGAAACTCCCGATTCTCACAAGACAGACAGACTGAACAACTCTTTTCTTTATTTTCTGATTTTCGATTTTGCACATTGGAAAGGTACTTCTTTCTAACTTCTTAACTCCTCTCATATGCATGTGATGCAAATTAAACAAACAAAAGTAAATCTTACACACGTGGACGCTTATAAATGATCAAAGTGTAAAATTTTCAACATGATCAATAACTTTATTGTAAATCTACTTATCTGCACTGAAAATCCTTCTTTTTTTTTTTTCTTTTCCCTCAAATACCTAGATTTATAGTTTGTTTGGATAAAAATTAGTAAAGGAAAGAAAATGGATGAGAAGGGAAGGGAGGAGAAGTAAAGGGAAAAAAAGAGTTCATATTAATCTTGTTTGGACAAATGAAAATAGAGAGGAAAGGAAAATATTTTTATTTAATTAAATAATTTAAATAAAATAAAATATTTAAAATATTTAAAATTTATTAATTAAAACAATAATTGAAATAAA